CCGGAGGCTGGGACTGGGCCTGGCTGGGCAGAAGGCGCTGCCTCCGGCGGTCACGGCCCGGTTGCTGCATCGCATGAGATTCTGCAAAGGGGGTTTGTTGCAAGTTAAAAAATACATTAAAAAAAGACAACTGTCCCGAAATCATGTTGACAGCATCTGGGAGGTGAATCTTGTTTCTGCAGCTTGATCTTTCTAGTATTATATTTGAAACCAAATACATATTTGCTGTTTTTATAGCAAAAACTGCAAACCCCATCATGTTCCCGTAGATCAAATGAAAAGCTGAGATCGGTGCAAACGAATGAAGTCGCGACTGCACTTAGGCGTGATACGCATTTTGAAAGACATGGCTTTATTTTAGCATTTTATGTCTTGACTTTTTTCGCTTCTGTCCTGACTAGTGACAGATACTGGGAATATATAAGCTCCATACTTGTAGATCCTGTGAGTGCATTCCTAAGGTATTGTAACTTTGCCTGTGCAGACATACGGCAGACATTATTCAAAGAATTAATATTTAACGGTAGCATGAATACTAGTGAGTTCATGAATACTAGTGAGTTCATTGCACGAGGAGCCTGCCAGGGTATATAGTCATCACTAGTAGGCTGTGGCTGTTGGATCAACCACGAGACCTCTCTGGATTTTCTCACAGGAGTGACGGGAAGCAAGAGGAAGGCTAGATGAATTATTCAGCTGTGCTACCATTTATAGGCCGCAGGCTGGGAATTTATCTTTGTACAGATTATTTACATGCTCCTAAACCCTTTGTTGCAGCAAGAGGTAATACGTGTTAAATATTTAATGCAGTTTACAAAAAATAAAACATTGTAATTAATGTAAGAAGGATTTGGAAGATTTAGTCTCATTTAGAAAACTTAGATCACTTATAAAACATGGTGCAATTACTCTAATTTCAAAAAATTAGAGACATTTGTATACAAGTAGAAAATACATTATTGCTGCTTATACATAATGTATTAATGAAAATTTAAAGTGTTTTTTACTTTGATTTGTCTGTAAGTTTTGAACATGATCTTGCAATATGTTTTTCTGTTCCTTAACAGGTTTTTCTTCTACAGGAATAAAGCCATGGCTGGCATGAGTGACAGCAACTTAGATAAAACAACCATTATTCAGCAAGCAATAGCCTCTTGTTGTGGAGCTATAATTACATCATTGTTCGGTAAGGCAAACTACCAAGTTTGCAGAGAGAATCCTTGCAAAGTTATTACTCTTCAGTTTGACTCAACATGATATCTGCATATATAAATTTTCACAAATACATTTAACAAGGATGTTTTTGCCTAGTTTTCTCATAACTTTTTGTATTTTAACAAATGTACTTAATTGAAATCTTTCCCATTCCTGATAATCTTTAACTACTTCTGGAAGTAATTAACTTTTAATTTCTGTATCTTTTTTTCTTCCTGGTGTAATAATTCATTACTTTCTGCAAGAAACAATATTAATAATAAAAATTAATTTCCACACTTCCTGCTGCTTAAAAACGGATTTTAAATAAAAGTCTACTTTATAGTCGACACAAATCATGTAAGGCTGACCCCCATGAGATGTCCCCTTCATGTTACACTTAGTAGTAACATTCATTTATTCTGCTGTGATGTCTGTGATGAAGGCACTGTCAAAACCTTTTATTGGCAGGAGCAGATGGCCCTAAACCTTGCTTTTAAGGATAGCTTTTTCTTAGGCTTTTAAGCTTCTGGATGGTCTGTGGAATTCATCTTCTTCCTCATATTCAGCTTATACTTTGTATTTCAGTTATTTTTTGGCTTAAGCTAGCCTTTGGTTTTGACTTTTAACACTGCAGGGAAATGTGCAGTTTTCTAATGAATTATTTTTCCCCCACAAAATTTAAAAATTTTTACAAAATAGGATCTTAGCAGGAAAATTTCAAATTCATAGTCTTTCAAGTCTGTGTTTATATGATGTGTCCTGTGATGATAGGTAAAGTGGCAAGCAGGGGTACATCAGGTCTGTAGAACTCCTGAGATGGATTCCAAGTGTGTGTACCTAAGATTCTAGCACAGTATAAGGTGTTGGTATTTGCAACCTCAAGAGGTATAGGAAACCAGCTTCTTTTGGAAGAGGAAAGGAGCCACTCACACATGTGAGTGTGAGTGGCTAAAATGCTACTAGATGCCAGATTTTGAGCAACTGAATTGAGCTGCACATTTACATCCTACATTTAGATTAGGGAAATGTGAGCCAAGAATTCAACCTCCTGTTAGTCAAGAGAGGTGTCAATAGAGAGTTAAGGCATGACTCAGTGCCTGTGCACAGGACTGTGTTCAGTGAGACAAGTTCGAGACTATTTGACTTAGCCCCTAGCAGCCTCTTAGTAAGGTTGTAGGCCCTGTGTTATTCCTGTCAACTGTGTAGGTATTTTGGATACTTTAGAGACTCACTAGCTGCTTGTATGAAGGCAACTGAACCAAGCCCTCAGTCAGTATAGTAAGTCGGTATAAGGTTGTAGAAGTTCATGGTAAGACATCTGTACACTTTTGCATTTTCAGAGCATGTAGGGTGTTTCTAAATGACCTCTGTTTCATTTCCGTAACTCCTCTTGATGTTATCAAAACTCGACTGCAAGCCCAAAGCAATCCATTCTCCAAAGGTAAATAAATGAGTGATGGAGGACACAGTTTGCTTTTTTGCTGTTGTATTTAGCTGATGGTTATCATAGTGCTGAGCTACAGAATGTTATCGTTCGTTTCACAATAGTTATGTTTGTTTCTTCAGCTTAAGTGTGTGTGTGGGGAATCAACACATAAATATATACTGAAATTGCTAAAGGAAGAATGTATCAGTGAACAGACACGGTGCTAAAAGATCCCAGAAATACATAGCATTTTAAAGAGTTTTTTTCCTGTCTGTCTTAGTATTTTCATTGTGGTAGAAGGTACAACTGAGCTGAGTTTAAAACACCCAACCTATTAATAAATAACTAAATATTTCTTCAAAGGGCTTATGTGATCTGGATGCTATATCAAAGGTCACCTTCTCCAGAATCCATAGACTTTTGAAACAGACTAGTAAATCTTACTGAAGTCACTTGCCACTTGGGTTTTATATAGATGAAGACATTGAGTACTCAGAGATAGGCCGCTGATTCCTACTATTTAGTAGTAATTAATAACTGTGATTTAAAAGGGAAAGATTTGATGTCTAGTGTGCCGTGTTTTATGTGGACATGAATATTTGCAGTCACACTTCTGTAAGTCGGGAAAAATGCTTTTGCCTTCTGTCCTATTTTATTTAGTAAACTCAGAAATTTGAAAATCTGAAGCTCAAAGTATGTTTTTTAAATAGGTATATTTTATCAAACAGGTTCAAAGTACATGATGTAGAAGAAATTAAAAGCAAGTAGAGAGGATGATCTAGTATAAATAGTCTCACTTAAGATATAGCACCACCACTTGTAATGTGGATGCTGAGGCTACTTGATAAAAGATCTAAGTCTGAAAGATGTTCTCATAGTTACATACAGTAGTGACATTCAGGTCTTGCACTGTTTTCAGCCTTCAGCAGATGGTGGTATAACCTAAACACGTCTTCTGGAGCCTAGGAAGGCAGTTTCCTTTAGTCTGGCACTCTGAGGAGTACATTTGGTCTCTCTTTCCTTTTACCTGATTTGTCATCATCAACTTTCCAAGACTATTTTGCCCTTCTGTGTCTAACCAGATATAAATCTCTCTTGCCATAATATCCAATTTGAAATTGCTGCTGAATGAGAATAGTTTTATAAGCATTAACTATGTTCTTACACACTGTTTTATTAGGAAAGTGTTTTGTATACTCCAATGGCCTTATGGATCATATATGTGTTTGTGAGAATGGGGACAGCAAAGCATGGTATAAAAAACCTGGGCATTTCAAAGGGACGTTGGTAAGAACATTTTACATTTATATAGAACTGTACACTGAAAACATTTTTAAGTGGCATAATCCATCAAATACCACCCTCTTCCCCCAAATGTTTAAAAAATTAGGTATCCTAATATCAGGGAGTTTGTCTTTCTGATGGTGATTTCAGTTGAATGATGTTCAAGGTTTAGTGTTCCTCTGCTGTCCGTGGTCTGGGAATATATGGGGCAGCTGTGATATTAATTGTAAGCTTCCAATATATACATTGCACATCCCTTGTGACATTGTTGTCAGAGAAAGCAAGTATTGAAGAATCATTGAGAGTTAATTTGCTATTTCATGCCTAGAACTCTTGTTATGCATTAAAAAAATATTTTAGTGGCTTATTTTGGGGAAATTACACAAGGTGCTGCTGTGCTGTGTTAGTTCTGAAAATAACTTATTCAAAGGGCTGTCAGTTACTGATAAAAACTTACTGCATTGGTATTCTAGGGAAGGCAGGAAATTCTTAACTTCAATCACACAACTATTTCTCTTCTGCTCAGTGAAACTATTTGTGTGATTAAATATGATAGCCAGCGTAAACAGTTAGAAAATTGGGATCTTACAATCGTGAGCCATTTTAGAAACATGCTTTTTAATGCATTAATTTTGTGTTCTGACAGATAAAATATATTACTGAGTACAAAAATTTGTAGGTGATAATTGCTCTTTGCCTGGTTGTATTTTTAGGATGCATTTGTGAAAATTATTCAGACAGAGGGAATTAAATCACTGTGGAGTGGACTTCCCCCAACACTGTAAGTTAACTTTTTTTTTTTGTTCTAGTAACATGTTATGAATTATCATTAAAAAAAATCACTCCATTATTTAGACAAATTAGTATGTTTATTTCTAAGTGATTTAAAAAATTTAGTCAATTCTGAAGTTACAGGTAATGTTATAATCAGTTATATAAGCTTATATTTACTCATCCCACATTGTTTTTTGAGTAATGAGAATTGTAAGTGTTGATTAAGGTAGAGAAAATACTCTCTGATTATTAAATGAATAAAAATGTCAGGTTAGTCGCTACTTCTGTAATGTTTTGCTTGGTTGCTTCATATTCAGATCTTTCAACTCCATTCCTTTATCAAAATGGTGCTGAAGCTGATATGAAGTAAATTTTGACTGAGATAATCCACCATCTTGTTCTTTACAGTTTTTCCTAATGAAATGGAAAACTGGGAAAATTGTGGATTTGAAACTCTGAACCAGAGGCAGTGATCAAAGCACGGGATTACTGCTTTTTCTTTTTCCATAACACACAGCTGGAGATTTAACTTTCCTTATTTAATCAAAATATCCATACAATATGGTTGGCTTTATGCTCCTGCTTTCCTTGTATTGATTTAGATTCCCTCTCTTACATTTTAGAATAATGGCACTCCCTACCACAGTAATCTATTTTACCTGCTATGACCAGCTGAGTGAAGCTCTGAAATCTAGACTAGGAAAGGACAATGAGCACATTCCAGTTCTTGCAGGTTCCTTAAGCAGATGTAAGTTGTCATCTGTTTAAATAGAAAACGGAAATGAAATGTCTATATGCTGTTTTCTTGGTTTTGTTTTGTTGTTCTGTTTTTAAAGTAAATTTGCTGTGGCTTTAAATGAGGGATAATATTACGTGGAGCTGGGCATAGGCAGGAATACTGTAATTACTCAGGATTTCTTGGGCAACATAACCCTCTAGCCTGGAATAATGTGATTTATTTTTGCTGTTATGCTTTCCCTATGTTTGTAATTTGTTCAAAATTTTATATTTCTAGACTTCTACCAAGGACTGTTTAATTTAAGACTGTTCTGTCGTGAATCTAATAATAAACATAATTATTTTCTATAATGGAAGCTACATAGGTAATTACAAGGAAAATGAAAATTTGACTCGTACAGGTTTTACTGCTATATGATGTAAAGGGGACCGAATTTCTTTTCATATGTTCTCACTTTTGTTTATCCTTTTCTTCATCTCTTTTTGTAGAAGTAGCTCAGGTCATCTATTTTTGGACTTTCTGCCAAGACTCTGAGGATGTAGTTCCATATTGTACTTGTGACAGCTATGAGGGTGACTGGAAGACTAGTGTACATTTTTCTGTGGTGATGTGGCAAATTGCTCTTATTAGGCTGCTCCAGATTTTAAAGTCACACATCAAAGAAACCTTATCCCAGCAAGAGGAGAAATGTTCTTGGATCTACCAAAATCGTTAAAGCCTATGACATGTGTGATGGGAGCTTGTTAGCAAGTGGTGACTCACTGATCTTTTCACCAGATGTGAGAGAGTTACTTTATCAGATACAGATTGCCTGCTAAATAGTCTTCATAGTTTAAGTTAAGAATAGCAAAGATGCTTAGAAATCAAGAAATCTTAATCTCCAACCATTGTTCTTGTCCTTAACAAAAAAAAACAAACCCCAAGATCACTTTCTTCAAGTAACATTTAAAAATAGCAATTAGTAAAAAATTAATCTTTATAAGTGCTTGAAACTTTCAGCCTATTTATGTAATAAATCTGAAAATGAGGATTCTTAGTATGTTATGTGGACTATAACATACCAGTATTGAAAAACAGTAGGAAGCTTGTGTGCCCAGAAAGTTTAGGTACTGTGAATGGATATGGTATTCTTATCTGGAAAGGAAACTTATTTTGGGAATTATTTTAAGGAAAATGAGAGGGTTTAAATGAATCAGATACATAAATCAAGGTGAGACCCGACTTAAATCTTCAGGAAATATGACTAGTAAATGTTGATTTGGAAAAAAGCCCATATTTTTCTGATTTGCAGTTGGTTCAGTTACCGTAGTGAGCCCCCTGGAGCTGATCAGGACTAGAATGCAGTACCGCAAGTTGTCCTACAAGCAGCTGTACACGTGCATCAGCAGTAAAGTGGCAGCAGATGGGTGGTTGTCCCTGTGGAGGGGCTGGAGTTCTACTGTCCTGAGAGATGTACCTTTCTCAGGTAGGGTTTCTTTTCCGTGCATTTGTGTTATGTCAGAAGATCTGTTTATGCATAACACTCCTAGACTTCTTCTGTGTTGTTAGGTAATTTTAATGGGTAGCTTTGCTTTAAGAATGACTGAGATTTACTTGTTCTCTTTTGGGTGTTTTTGTTTAGAAATTCTTCGAGGACCTGATTTTTTCCCCCCACTTTGTTTATGGATACCATCTGGGATTCATTGTTACATTCCCTTTCTCTATTCTTAGACTGTTTCTTCCCATGTTTAGCTGATGCAATGACTGTTTCTGAAGACTTTCAGTAGGAAATTTTCTTTGTGTTAGGTGTAGTGGCTATTTCCTTATAGAGAAACATGCTGCATCTAAGTGTTCAGATGCTTCATTTTGAAAATAAGTTCAGAGAGAGAGTGACACAGTAGTGTCTTCGGGTGTTTGTGTTGTCCAAATCAATTAGTTGGTATAACTGCTCCCAAAACCATGGAGCTGAGGGCACCTCTCACTAGCAAAGATTCAAAGCTGGACGTCGAGAAGAAAAAATCTGATACAGAGCATAACTAGTCGTAGGGCTGTTCCTTAAGATAACTGGGACAGAAGATAATGCATTATGCCTTTTTGATAGAGCTCTGCTATGCCATGAGCTAGAGAGGAGACTGCTAAAGCACTTGTAAATGCCAGTGATGAATGCCCCCATCTCTTGGAGGCCCGTTTTTGTCAGATCATCAGGCATCAATTGTCCTTTGGATAGTACCAGGAAAAAGACCTTTGAAAACCTTGTGCTGGCACAGAAAAATGCTTCAAACCTAGTTTTGGAGACAGCAGGTCAAAAACTTCAAGGTTTCTTTGTCTTTGTTCTCCTAATTAGTACTGAAGATAATCTGACATTTAATTTAGTTTGTGGTTCCAAACAGTTTATTGAACCAGTCTTTGGTCTGGACTGCTACGGGATTTGAGCACATTTAGATGTGCACCTGGAGTAATTTTTCAATTGGCTGTGAACCAAACCAATGCATGGTATGTGGAGGTGATTAGAATATTTGGTTAAAAATGCACTCAGCAGTTAAGTGAGTTAACACAGAACTAAGTTATTTCAGCCGTTTTATTTTCACAATGAACAATACTCAGTTTTCTTTCACTTTGCTACTGCTAGGTGTTAAAAGATTGTATTTCTTGCTTAGGGATCCTGTTGATGGGACTCAATTTAGCCCTCTGTGACAGGGAAGGATTCTGAGCCTATGGAAACGTGCCTTCTATAAGGCTGAAGATAACTGTGAGAATTCATGTGAACTTTTTGCCCAAAGTGCTTCCTATTCAATATTTATCTTTCAACTTACTTGGTTTTCTTCTCTGCCAAATGCATCTTTCTCTTAGGCTGTTCTGCTAAGCTTTGTAAGGGGATTCTGCAATTCTTCATCCAGTTTCTAGTCTGACTTCAAGTAGAAACTCCTGTTCTCTTACTGATTTTTGTCGGTTGCAATATGCCAGGAGATCTTCCTTCCCTCTGCTGCTTTTAACAGAGTGGGAGGATCAGAGGACTGTGAGGGAGTCCACAAGGAAGAGGGCACTAAGGTGATCTGTGTGTGCTTTTCAGCCTTTTCAGATTCTTGTGTCCTGCCTGCTGTCCCTCCATTGGTTCAAAACCACCCTCATTCTCAGTCTCCACAGTGCTCTGGCATTTCCTTCACATCCTGCAGGCACTTGCTGTGCCCTGTACTTCCTGGGCATCCTGTACTTGCTGTGCCCTGTACATCGTGGGGTGCTGGAAAGGTAGAGGCACGGGTGAACAGGCATCTGCTGCCTTACAGAGCCAGAAGTGAGCAAGCAGTTAGATGCACGAGTAAAGGAAAATGTATTTAAAAAATAAAAATAAATCTCAGAGTGTTTAATGCAGCCTAATACCATTCCAAATATGTTTTCTGACTATTTTTTCCTTAAAAATACTCTATGCAATGAAGATATGCTCCCTTAATACCTTCAGTCTTTGGTCTTCTGTTTGAGTGATGCCCCAATAGCACCATCTTTTCTGATATTTGTACAGCACAGGCTGCGTCTTTGCTGCAGTTAGCTCAAGTTAGCTTTTTCTAGAGGAATTAAAATCAGTGTAACAATTTGTATTGAGAAAGAAGGTCCTATGTGGAAGCAGTCAGGCAGCTCTGCACGATTAGAATCTCACCGTTACTAGTCCAGGTGTGAATGATAAGCTGCAAGCACGTGCCTTTGGAGGCTAGCTGGACTGAATAGAACTTAATGTTTTATTCTTATAGTTATTATTATTTATAAACTAAATGTTTACAAGCATAAGCATTGGGTTAACAGTAACACTTGAGTCATTCTTTAAGCAGTGTTGCAGAGAATATAAACATAAAAGGTATACAGGGAAGGGAGTCCTGCAGGTGCTTAGGAGAAGGTTTGGGTTTAGATAATTTATATTAAATTAAGGTTTTGAAACATTTTAATAGTAGGTTTTCCTCAAATCCTGAGAATGCCTTCTGAGATACTGCCTCCATTTAGTTTTGCAAAATGCTGGAGGTCAGGCATATGTGCTGGTCGTCTCCAGGGCAGGAAAAGCCCTCGACATTTCTGTGCTGGCACAACCTCTGGAACCGAGGTCTGAGTGAGGCGCAGTGATTTTTTCAGGATATGCAACCATCATTTGCAGCATTTATTTGACCAGCTGCCACAAGGAGTCACTCTGTAACTCAGCCCGGTAGCACATGGTTTGAAGAGTTTTAGTTAAAATGTAGAAAAAGTTCAGTTTAGTTCAGGAGACAAAACCAGAAACAGATGTTATTCCTAAAAGATGTTTGTCAGGCTTGCCTTTGACAGTCCTCACAGAGCAATTCCCCACTTAGTAGTTCCAGAGAGCAAAATCTTATTCCTTGGTTCTCTCAGAATTAAATTTTGCGCTCTGTCCCCCAGAAGAACATGAGGCAGTCCTGAGCAACCTTTCATTTTGTATGCAGCATGTTACTATAGAATTTGTGAGATGTAAGAAATGTGTGAAATATGCCTGAAAACATAGCAACTAATTAAAAGCCTACAGTTTGATTTATGTTAAGTTGAATTTAAAAAAATCTGTTATGTGAGTTCTGTAGTGCTTGGGTTAGATTGTATTAAGGTAGGAGTGACTTTATTTAGCTTTCATCTCTTTTTTTCTTTCTGCTCCTGGTGCCACAGTAGAATGCTTAAATCTCTACTTGATAGAAGAATTTCTGTATTTGACATACAGATGTGTTGTGATGCAAGTTTACTTTTTTATAACTACAGCAATGTACTGGTATAATTATGAACGTTTCAAGAGGATGATGTGCAAGGAAGTTGGTGCACGTGAACCAACGTTTTTTATTGCTTTTACTTCAGGAGCAGCATCTGGCTCTGTAAGTATATATTTTTGTTTCTGGTCCTACTCTTTATTACTATCACTAATAAACTATTTAAAAGAGGTATGATTTTACATGATTCTCAGAAAGGGTGTATGTTGTGGGGTGCATCTGTTTAAACACACGCAGACCGGCGTTCAAGCTGATGAGGTATAGCTGAATAAATTACAGGGCTCTGAAATACAGGACTTTTAATAATATCAGGCAGCTGGAATATCAAATCTGGTTTTGTGAGCACTTCAATTAAAAAAATAATTTAATTTAAAAACATTAATTAAGTTTTAATTGGTTTTGTTCTAACATTAAAACTGATTTCTTTTCCTGGTAGATTGCAGCTGTTGTAACTCTGCCATTTGATGTAGTGAAAACACATAGGCAGACTGAGCTTTGGGAGAGTGAGACCTTAAAAAGTAAGTTGCTGGTAAGGAGAAGAAAAACCCATAATGTTTTGAAAAATAAAATGTAGTGTTTGAGTATATAGACTTTTGGTAAGAATTTTAAATGTTTGTCTCTTCTCTAAAGTTTATCTAAAAATTCTATCATTAAGGACTTTTTTCTTCTCCAGTTTGTAACCTCTTGTAGGATACTTTTTATCTCCTAGGATAAATAGAATAGTTCATTAATGGCCTGGAGGGGAGAAATGGTGTGAGTTCAGTATCATTTGGGTTAATTAGATGGTGTAAAATATAAACAAAAATATCTGGAGCTATTACGTTTAGGCAAACAAATTGCTCATTTTTTATGCCTTTAAGTAAGTTATATTTAAATAGGCAAAAATTTAATTTCTTATAAAATATTGAGTTGAACAGCAATCTATTGAAAAACACTTTTGAGTTGATAAAAATAACATGATGAAATGGTTGAACATTCACTACCACTTGCTCCTTCGTAACGATAGTCTTCTGTTAAATGTTATGCTAGAGAGAAAAAGCACTTTGCTTACCTTCTTTTTGTGTGATTTCAAAGAAGTTTTTTTAAGGGCATATTAGTGGATATCCTAACAGCTTTAAAGGATGAAAGAGGAAGGACATTTCCTTTTTGTTCTGTGTTCAGGTGAGCACCACTGTGTTTTATACAGTTCAAGTTGTATATAAAAACTTACTTTTCTGTTGCTTGGGACCTGGACCAGTGAGGGAATTTTCATTAACTCAAATAAATGTTAGATCATGGCTTTAAGATTACAGACCAGTAAAAAGGCTGAGAAACTAATCTGAAGGCCCTAGTACAGAAAGATAAGAACTTAGTGCTTGCTTTTTGCCATGAGGTTTCATCCTCTCTGGTAAATTATTTTTTTCTGGTATACTACTTGAAAAAACGTATTTATGTTTCACTGCAGAACAGACAAAGATGAAGTATTTAAATAGTTCTAGTGTTTCAATTCTTCCCTTGTGCTGATTAGTATAAGAATTCATTGCTAACAGCACTTTGAATCACAGGTAGTTACCATACATTTATTAGGCTGATATTAAGTAGATTAATATATAGATAACCATAATGAAATTGTAAATATAATTTGTATTAGTTTTATTCTTTCTAAATTGAGTTGCTGTTCGAGTTGGACACTGACTACGCAGCTGCATATTGTCTCTCTGTGGCTGCAAAAATGTTTCATTGCTAACAGCACTTTGAATCACAGGTAGTTACCATACATTTATTAGGCTGATATTAAGTAGATTAATATATAGATAACCATAATGAAATTGTAAATATAATTTGTATTAGTTTTATTCTTTCTAAATTGAGTTGCTGTTCGAGTTGGACACTGACTACGCAGCTGCATATTGTCTCTCTGTGGCTGCAAAAATGTTTTGGTTTTTTTTTGCTGAATGTATTCTATGAAACTTTTAACTTGCATCTAGAAAAACATTTCTTAGCCGCTTTCATGTTACAATCAATGAAATCAGCATGTGCGGAGCAAAATAACACCAAGAACTTCCTCCATTTAGAACAGTTGCACATGTCTGCAATGCAGGTTCCTTCTTGACGCTGTTGCAGTTAGGCTGCTTGTGGCATGTGATGTAGCTCTACAAGGGACAGTGATCCACATCTCCTAGACCTATATGTTCCCAAACTTAGTTATAAATTTAGGGGGGATTTGATGTTTGTAAACTTCGACGTAAGATGTAGTATCCTAGCTTAATTATTCGATTCATTCTTACGATAACAAGTCTCAAAACGTACCTTTAGGTTCAGTTTACCATAAAGGCAAGTTCTTGGTTAAAAATCTGAATAGTGATGATCTTTTAGCTGCACGTACAAAGTGACATGGAGAGGGACTGGCTCGTTTGAAAGATAGTTGACTTGTTTCAACTGTATCAGTTACTCTAGTAAGGTATGTGGTCTCTCTTCATATGTCTTACTCCAGGTCATGTCATGCTGTTCTAACTTGAGTGTTGTATGAATTTGCATACTGTATGAAAATCCTGTATAAATATTATGGATAAAATTAACGTAAAATGAATTAAACCTAATAATTACGTCTGTGACTGTCTCTGATTTCTAAAAATATTCCTTTGTGGCACTGTATGTATTGCTTAATTCGCTGTTTTCTTGTGCTGTATTGAGTTCCACAGAGGGACGGTTCTTCAACCTGGGCAGTTATGAGGAAAATTGTCGCTAAAAATGGGATTACTGGATTATTTGCTGGTAAATCTTTTGATGTTTTTCGCAAAAAACTCAGACTAGAGAAAAAGTTTTTGAATCAGCAACAAGTGATCATAGATGTTAACATGCATGGGTTCTGTAATATTTCCATCTCTGGGAACGCTGTCCGTTATGCAATAGTTTGCATGTGTAGAGCGACAGACGTGCATAGATACAGAGAGAATTTTGTTGATCTCTTCACAAGTTACTAAGTTACAGCTGTGCAAGATGGACATGATTTATTTAAAAAATAGAGGGATGGGGCTTGGCAGATACGGCTGTATTGGCAATTAAAAATGGTGGGAAAAGGTTCAGTTCAGGAAATATTTTTTTGTCCAATTTAAATAATTTGTTGATTTCTTAAACTGTAGCTCTTGGATTTTTTTTCAGAAAGAATTGGTACAAAGGAAATTTAATGGATTGTAGGTTTGGAAGGTACAGTATGGAGGTGTTTGTAGACTGAGCTGGTTTTTGGTCCAGTACTAAAAATTTCCAAACCATCAGTACTTACTGCACCACCTATATTTAGGAATAGCCATCCTAATTTTTGTTCTTCGTCTCATACTAGTGTCTGTATTCTACTTCTTTTGATTCTTTCTGTCTCAGTAACAGAGTTTAAGCTTCAGCAGTATTTTCCTGTCTCCCGTCTTAGTCTTTGAAGAAGGTGCGTTACTGAAAACCCAAGAAGTCTTGAGTATGGAGTAGATATTTTGAAGTAGAATTAACACAGTAAAATAGTCTTACTGTCTGGAAGAATACTGGCCTCAGGATACAGATCTCATCTATCCTATGACCTATCCTATGATTTTAAGTTGGACTTCAGTGCAGTTTAATTTAGAGAGGACTGGAAGATACAGCAATTATATTAGTATTTGTTTGTTTGCTAGATGGGACTAATTATGTTGAATACTGTGTAATATTTGGGACATTCAAGGTCATGCAACAGCTATTCCCCAGTAATCTTACCCTTTACGTTTTCTATTAAATGAGAAACATGATTTAAAATATTTGGTAAATATTTATGTTTAAACAGATGGAGAAATGCAATTTTGATGATTTAATGAGTTCTGAATGAGTCAAGAGTTTTTAAATTGTACTTATACATTATCTGTTGTGTACACATCACTGAGCCTGTCGAGGGACTACTGCTGCCCAGCTGTGTCCAGCGTTCAGCACATCCGGACATAGCGTAGAATGTAGCTGGTGTGGGTTTGGTTCCGCTGAGGCATCCAGCAGGGCAGAATGTCACTGTTCAGACCCCATTTATCTGTGTAATTCCTTGATGTATTTTACTTTTTTTCTTGCATGGACTGTCTTAAAGATTGTCTTTTAGTCTTTTTGATAGTTTTGGCAGAGATCACTTTTTAGCCCTGAACTACACGCAATAGTTGCTTCTACTGCTGACCAGCAGAGATGTATCCCTGACCATTATAAGATATCTTGACTATTTAAACTCCGCATATTTATACAACAGCAAAGAAACCCCCAGGAATACCTTCTGTGTCTTTTTCAAATCCTGGCAGCTCTCTGAAAGCAGTGAGCCCTACCTAATCGTATGACCTACTTCTTGCTACTAACTCAAAACCTCTAGCAACGAAGCTGGCCAGAGGTCCAGCAGGAAATGTTTCCTCCTTATTTTCATTGTTATGGCTCAGTTGTAAGAGGACTTGATGGCATCAAGGAGTGATCACAGAGACTTCTGAGATCTCGTGAGGCTTGTGAATGTCTTCTCCACTGCATAATCAAACTGTCCTGGCTGGAACAGGGGCTTTGTGCACTGGCAAGTGTGACATGAGACAAGAAAACTGATATCCCAGCATTGGAGCAAAAGGCCCTCACTGTTACCTCATCCCGAAGCTGAGGATTTCTTTTAATTCTTAAGATCTTTCAGGGATTTTCCACTTCTGCAGTTGCCAGAAAGAACTGACTACCTTATGAGATAATCACTAGTCCTTTCAGTAATTCATGGTGGATTTAGCCAGATCCCAGAATATTCTCTTGGAGAATGATACGGAATTTTTTTTTCACAGATCTGTAGATATTTGGCAGCAGCTATCATGTATCCTGCTGGATTTCTGGCAGAGGTTTCTACTTGGCATGCTCTGTCAAACAAAACAGGAAGAAAAGATTGGGTTTCCCAAAAATGGGAGTTCTCTCGTTTCCAGCTTCACCTGACAGTCCAGATGGATATTCAGAGTGTGAATGTTCAAGCTGATTACATGTCCTCAAGAATTCTAGAAACTGGTTCGCATCCTTTTGCGAAGAACTACTTTCTTTCATTGAACAGAAGCAAATCTTTGCCTGGAGGTGCGATTTGCCTTTGTTGAATATGTACACTCAGGTAGTTCTGTCAATAATTTACTAGCCCAAGTATTGCCAGACTAAAACAGTATCATTTCTGAACTGAACTGTTTTTAAAGTGTTTTGCTTTTGAATATCCCAGTCCCTGTGTATGGCAACTGGAGATTGGAAATTCAACCTTAAATGTATATGAAGTGCTCACAGTCACAGAGTCGTCTTGGCTTCCCATGTGTCCACCTCAGGATGCTCATCTCCCAGCTGCCCTAAGCCTTCCTACCTCCCCATGCTTGTAGTTCCGTTCCCCCATGACCTCTTCCCCGGCTGTAGGGGAAGGGACTCCTGGGTCTCTCTGTCTTCAGGAGGTCTACCCGGTGGGCGAGGTCACTGCTGTCCTGCTCTGCGGGGTGGCTGTTGTTGCCATGCACGGAGTCCTTCATAAGGCACATGTTATCACGTGTACCTCTGGCAGCCTAAGGGGGAAATGACAAGATACTGAGATTGAAATGGCTTTGAGATAAAAGCCCATAGTAGTTTATGCTTAAATCAGAGAATCATAGAATGGTTTGGGTTGGAAAGGACCTTAAAGACCATCTAGTTCCAACCCCCCTGCCATAGGCAGGGACACCTTCCACTAGACCAGGTTGCTCCAAGCCTCATCCAGCCTGGCCTTGAACACTTCCAGGGTTGGGGCATCCCCAGCTTCTCTGGGCAACCCGTGCCAGTGCCTCACCACGCTCTCCGTGAAGACCTTGTTCCTGATATCTAATCTAACCCTCCCCACTTTCAATTTAAACCCGTTACCCCTTGTCCTGTCACTACAGACCCTTGTTAAGAAGTCCCCTCCCAGCTTCCTTGTAGCCCCTTCAGGCACTGGAAGCTGCTGTAAGGGCTCCACGGAGCCCTCTCTTCTCCAGGCTGAACTCCCTCCCAACTCTCTCAGTCTGTCCCCATAGCAGAGGTGCTCTAGCCCTCTGAGCATCTTTGTGGCCTTCTCTAGACTCACTCCAACCGGTCTATATCCTTCTGATGTTGAGTGCCCCAGAGCTAGACGCAGCACTCCAGGTGGGGGCTCATGAGAGCAGAGTAGAGGGGGAGAATCCCCTCCCTCGACCTGCTGGGCACGCTTCTGGCCAAATGAACAACTGCAAGACATTCCAAACCCAGGATCCTTACCAGTATTGACAGCACTGCCTTGGTTCTTTGGGTTTCCCTGTGGGAATGGCTACACGCTTGGCTGAAGAGTTGCGAGACTTGGGTTTGCTGAAAGACATTAAGTTCCTATACTTGCCATACAGGGAAGATGTAGCTGCGTAACAGGATTTGCCTACTTCAGGGCACTGATGCCAGCAGAACGCAAGGCACCACAAAGTATCAACATTTTTAGACATTTAGGGTGGAATTTAGCTCACAGATCAGGATACCTACATTTAGGTCTTGACACATGAGTAATGGAGCGTAGAGATCTTCCCTTGATCAGCTGCAATCTCAGTTCAGTCACCCACATGTAGGTGAGACGACTTGGGGGTATAATGCTTGATTTCCTGCTATTACTGTTCCTATGGAAAATGTGTCCCTTAGGTAACGCATCAGCTGCCCTGGCTCCACGCAGATGTATGCGTGTTTCAAGAGGAAGTAGATGCGTGTGTGCAGACAAGTGGATTCAGCCTCGTTTTCCTACCTCCAGGCAGACCCAATCCCTTTCTGAACTCCACTGAGGAGTTCACACTTGGTCGTGATGGGAGACATTTGACGCCTGAGTTCTACCGTTCGCCCGTGTGACCTGTACCCCTCCGTTGTCGCGCAGGTGCTGTAGGTCTTGGGAGGTAGTGGCAGGGGGTCAGGCTTTTTACTTAACCGCTGGCTTGAAGGGCTGAGGCACACACCTGCAGCGGAGGGTACAGCCCAGCATGGTACTTCAGCCCTTTCCTCCCCAGCTTCATCCGTTTCAGGATTCAGTGCTGACCTGGACCCCTGTTGTCCCACCTGAGAGATCTCTGCCTGTCCCACACGGGCAGCAAGTTGGTGCTGCCCCTTTGGGGAGGGCACAGTGCACCCCCAGGGCCACCTTTTCTCTGCTGGAGCAGGTCAAGGTGCTCCACCTCCGTGGAGGGAGCGAGGGGCAGGGACACCAGGGACCTGAGGCAGGGCGCCATAGGTGAGGGCACCAGGTGGTTACCATGGTGATACCCGCAGCCAGTAATTGCAGTATTTTGAGGAAGGTGGGCAGGTAGAATCCCAGTTCTACACGACACACTGCGGTATCAGCACATTACAGCCGCTAAATGGGACTGTGGTGCTTCAGTCTGGAAACAAGCGGTAACGAACACTTTCCTTTCTCTTTCGGGCAGGTATCATTCCACGGCTGTTTAAAGTCGCTCCTGCTTGTGCCGTAATGATCAGCACATACGAGTACGGGAAGTCTTTCTTTTCTCATTTAAACGAAATGAACCAACGTCCTTAGTTCCCCCTCAGCTGGTTGGGTCGTGTCAAAAGATACGGTGAAATGTATTGTGCCAAATTTAAATCTCGAATTCCCCGTGAATTTCTGCCATTACATTTGGTAACTAGGTACAGCTTCCTCGTGAACCAGTCAAAAAAGGATGAATCCACTTTTTTCTTAAGACTAAGAAAGTACACGCGACCCTTCAACTATCACTGAAGAGTTTGACTTCTCTTCTCTGCCTGTTCTTCAGTAGTGATTAAAAGGGGAAAAAGTGGAGGCTGGGCAGAACAGTGAAGAATAACCACTGCCACTCTGTTAATGTTCAGTCTGACTGGGTGTGTTTGGTGGTATTTAAAATGATGTTTGGAAAGTATTTTGGGCTTTCACCAGTGCGGTGTGATTGTTCCTCCATAAGGAGGTGGATATAGAATGAATTAATAAAGGCTTATCTACTCTCACTTAATAAGTGGTTAATTCTGTGTGTTTGTTAGTTGCAGCTCTGTACTTTACGTAAATGCATGTTGTAAAATAGGCTTTGGCTTCTTCTAAGGTTTATTTCAAATGAAAAGTGCTTTAGGTCAAAGTGGGAAGAGCACGCTGCGCTCAGTAGAAACCCAGAGACCGTGGGGAACACGTTGATTGGGGCTGCAGCAACTTTCTAGTTTAAGGTAGAACTCTAAGAAACGAAAGCACGGCCTGGCGCGGGAGACAGCCGTTCCCTCCCTTCTGGAGGACATATTTTTGGGGGGTGCAAGCTGTCACTGTCACAGAGCTCCAAGGCAGGGCCAGGCTCCCTGCTGGGAGCATTCCCCGTAGGCGGTTTGTACGGCGTCACCTGGGTTTGAAGGCCAAGTTTCTGGCGCAAAGCCGAGGGGGTTCGTGCCAGTCTGCCTCAGCCGCGCGTGTGTCTGGAGGCCAGAGTGCATCGGGCGTACGCTAGAGACGCAGCTGCTGTCTGCTGTGCACACACGCCGTGAACAGTTGCGACGTCTCCCTTGCCCGCCGGCGCTCGACTCACCGAATCAGAGGAGGGTCATCTGTGTGATTTTGAAATAATTTCTTACCTGCCCTGGTGCCATCCCTTCTTTCACGCCTTTGCAATCAAGTGGTTGAATTTTGTTATCTGCGTATTTTAACAAGGGGGCGTGCCGGTACAACCGCACCTCAGTAGTCGGGTCAGTTAAGGCACCAACTTTTGGGTTGTGCTTTCGCCAAGAAACGGGCTTCAGTCCTGTTCCACTGTGCCGAAGGAATTCCAGCAGGGGTTTGGCTTTGGTGAAAGTTCATTACACATGGAAAAGTGCTCCGGTTGTAAAGACGCTCGGTACAAAGTTAGGGGTCCTGCCGCAGGCATTTGACACCTTCCCCTGTTGTGGCTCTCCAAGTAATTCTACACTACAACCTCAAAATAAGGCCTAGGAGAGAGGAACTAACAGCAGCAGATTTTGGACCACACAACGAAATAGGGCAACAAAAACAAGTCTCCCTGTCTGCAAGGAAAGAATCTGCCACAAGCTCAGTAATACTGGAGTTTGCCAAATGCTCTTATTTTATCCTGTGTGAAACAGAGACAACAACTAGTAATTAGCGATGATACAAAATGTTTAATTTACATGCAACATTTATGGGACGTCAAGGCAACAAAACATACAGTTTTGGCATTTTTTCAAAATTTTTTTTGAAAAATGACTGATGTTTGGAACTGAGGAAGACGCACACAGCTGATTTCCCACGCACAAAACGACACCCAGAAACTCACAGCGGTGTCAGAACACATAAAAGACTTCAGTGACATGACATATGAATGTCACGCCAGCAGCTCCACGAGAAGAGCCATCGGCGAACACGGCTGCAGATGATGATCATGGCCCCCTCCAAAATACTGATGCAGTGGGATGCAGAAGTGTTTCACAGTAAACAAGACCGATTAAATCGCTGTACCTCGATGCAGAACTTGTGGAACCCGGATTCCCTCACTGCACGTGTAGTAAAAACGCACCTCTAGTTTACAAATCAGTATTTAATAATGTTACTCAACTGCCATGAGAGAGCAGGTACTTAATGTGGTAACAAAACCCCTGGCTACATGAAGTAACGGACATGCTGACAGTGCATGAAAGGATTTACCGGTCAGCGTTTATTACGGAGAATTAAGAGGGCGGGTGCGTGAGGGCTTGGAAGAGACAAGGGCTGCTGGATTTTGCTACGCCGCTTTAAAAATCAGCATTACAAATGGCACCAGTAGTTGTTTGCTCGGCCATGGATGCAATGACCTCCAACACTGGGGAGGTGAGGAGATGTATCTGGAACCTCCTCCGGCTCAATCCAACAGCACGTTGAGCTCCAGGGATGCGTAGCCTCATACCTACAAAGGCTAAACATGTCCTGTAGCTTTTAGTAAAGGGAAGAGTGAATCCTCTCTCTTTCAAGCCCACCCCAAGATGAGCAGGTTATAGTAGTAGTGCCAAGGTACTGTTACAAGAGGCAAATCAACTAAGACCGTACAGAGTGTAGTAGTGACATCCTGTAAACATCTAAGAGTAAGCAATAATTAAAAATCTGTCTTGTATTGCAGCTACTCATGTAAACAATTTATGAAACTTCTTTGGCACAAAAAAGCATTTTCCCTAGCACTTATAAATACAACGTACTTACATGCATTTAAGTTTTGTTTAAAAAGTTACTAATCGTACTGATAAGCATTACCTCGATTAGCAAAATTCATAAAGGATTCATTGTATCTTACAAAGAATTAAGAATATAGTTTGCAATTTAAAAATTAATTTGCAAACTTTGAAACTGTAGGGTAATCCGGAAAGTTAGTTTCATTTAAAAAAATGTCTCTTTTTATTTTCCTGTCAGTAATTTAAATCAATGGCAAGTAATTTGAGAAAACTGACTTAAGTTCTGCTGTACTACCCGATCAAGAAAAATACCTATTGCACTACTACAGAAATGAGGAAATTCTTTAAAATGAGAATACTGTCATTACATTGTCTTTGCCTCCCCTTTTTCACTCTCCTTGGGATCTTGCCAACAAACACACAATCCAAACTTCCCGCGGTGCTAACCCCACCCTCCTCAGTCCCCATCCTTGAAGCAAGGCCAATAAACCAAGAAATTTCTCCTGTAAGGTTTGATTATCTGTAACTGGGGTCACTCCAAAGCATTTAGTGACTGTCCTCGCCACAGACTAATTGCTGTTCGCTGAATTGAGGTGATCAACTTACATTTCTTATTCACATGCAACTTCAAGAATTAGTAAGAGCGTGGTTCTTCAGTGTGATTCAGACGTCTCCTACATGCCATGATACTAACAGGAATGCAAAATCTAACACCGAGTCAACTTGAGAAGAGCTGTTGATAGGTTAAATATGCTATCTGAGGTCCTACGCAACATACACGGATGGAAAGCTGGAATTTTAGGTAAAATATGTCTTTGCCTGCAGAGACTGGCATTAAGGATTCCCTGTGTGTTCTGCGAGGGTGGATAGATAGTTAAAGCACTGCAGAGAAGCACCGTGGCTAGAGTAGGGCCAGGCCATTGCAAGGAGAAACAAAGGTCATGGCAGTTAAGTAGGGGACTAATTTCCAACTGTTTCATTTTAAAAATCAGTCATAATCGTCAGATTATATGTCTTGTATCTGACCAAGAGCTTTAAATAATTCAAGACTAAAACAGAAACATCTGAAAAGTCCTCTGGGGGGGGGAAAAGTTTGAATGAAAACTGACGGAATTTGTGAATTAAATAGGTAACCATGACAAGAAAAAATAAAGCAGCTTATTTTTTAACTTAGAACTAGCAGTCTTCATTGCAAGTCATTTTATGGAACATAAACCAAATGCATACAACACAAAGCTCTTCCTTCTTGTGTGTATCTCAAGATGGTGTTAAGCCTGGGCTTGTCATCTCTGTTGTGGGACTTGCAAGGTATTCACTTGATTTCAGACTTGTGAGAGATTTGTAGCTTGCTACTGAAGTAAGAGAGCCACAAAGACCAAGCAACGATGGAGTGTCTTCCTTCCCTGTTAAGTAAAATAGGAATGAAGTTAATAATTCTTACAGCACAAGATGACCTGACCACAGAAATTAAAGAAGAGGGAATAGAAAAAACTAGTTCATCGACACTATGATGAATCCCACAGTGCTGCTTCAGCCCACTCACACTTTGTAAATGCAGTCAGGAATACACATATTTATGCCATACCTTCCCTAAGAGATCCCTGGCCGTGAGTTACAGGCTGGGCTGCAGCCAGTCTCCTACAGGAGGAGATTGGGAGGCTCCGCTGACGACTCGGCGAACACAGCTTCCTAATTCAAGCACCGGTTTTAGCTGAGTACATTATATTTAACTGGAAGTGATGTTATTAATACAACATCAGTACCAGAGACCTCATTTTAAATCCCTCAGAAAGGAGTAGAATGAACTGGAATTGGTATATGTTTCTTTAGAAAAAAGGTGTTTTGGTTTTTAAACCTTGGCAGTCGGAAGCGCATTAGGCTCCGGCCACTGGAAAAGCCCAACAGGGCAGGAGTGGCAGCGCCAGTATCTGCCCTGTCATCCAAATACACTTGACCCTTAACAGGAAACATACCTATAGGTGTAAGACTGCATTGGACAATGTCTCTGCTTATTTTATGCCTTCCCTTCTCAGAATATCCGTTCAAGTTATTTTGTGCCAACTCCACTAATAAACTGCATTACAAAGAATTTGTTTTACCATCATGTCCCTCCTGGTCACCTGCAGAATAGGAAAGATCACCTTAAACTAGAGATTAAAATGAACTTAATCAGCTCACAAGCACAGGATTCTACTGATAAACCAGTCTACCAAAGTTTTTTTTAAAATCACATCTATAAAGTACATTTCTTAAAACTGTGTCTCCTGTTTTTTCTCACGAGAAGGATGTTAGAAAAAAAACCAAACAAGCCAAACCGTGCCCTGCCCAAGAATTCATTAGGAAAAAAAAAAACCCTGCCACGTAGCTCTCCTGGATTACTTATGGTTCTTATTAGCAGCTTCCACTAGATTTTAGGTCTCACCTCTACTGAGCTTTTTTCAGATGACTGAATGTCTCCCTAAAGAATGAACTAGATTAGCTCTTTAAAAAAAAAAAAAGAGTCTTCCCTTTTAGAAAAATCTTTATTCCCATGAAAAGTACCCTTGAGAGACTGCATTCAACTGGAGGACATAAAATGCACAAAGAGCAGGGTAACATTGTTGGGGCACCGCCTCCAATTTCAACAAGTGTGAAGCTAAATCTGACTACATCAGTGGGCTTAATAGTAACGAGAAAGTTTACTACCTCTAATCTTTTCATTAAAGCTGCCACCCTGAGAGTTAGACCAGAGGTATTTTAACAATAGGATCACATGCTGGCTTAAAAAAATATATTAAGGACTAGATACTGATGAACCTCACTAATTTAGAGGTGAGATGTTATTCTACCTTTGAAGACAGTCTTGAAATCAAAACCAAAACTCTTATTATCAGTGGTTTTGCCACACTTCAGTTTACAGGAGATAAACCACTTCATAAGTGCAAATTGTTAATACTGAAAAACAAGCATTTGAAAGTATATCTGCACAAGAACTCCATAATATCCACGCTGGTTCTATTTCACTTTCTCTAAGCTAACATGAAATAATTTAGATTTTAAGGCTGTTGACAGTTTTAAAGAAAGTTCTGAGTTTTACATCCTTGATATTTTAAACCCAAGAAATTTTACAGCTATGAACTACCAAGGCTGTGCTGTCAACCGTACTCAGAATTAGCATTTGATGGATACAAAAAGGATTTTTATAGCCATTTATGTTCTGTACCCAAAATACTACTATTTCAGAAGTCCTCCAGCATTTTTCTACTTTTCACAGTTGCCCACAAGATGGAGCAGCTAAACTTCGATAAGCGTACAGATTTTGGAAGGGGGGGCGCGGGGGAGGGATGGTTATGTGCATATTACATTTATCTACTAGCATGGTTCATACATTGATTTCTCTCTGTCTTAACAGAAACCCTGCCAGGCTGCATCTTTGCAGATGAATGTTGAATGCAAGACAAAAAAATGACAGTGGCAGTTGCAATTCCAGTGCCTTTAACCTTTTAAGAAACAAAAACGGAAACTTAAAGAACTCAGAAGATTTGAGTGAGTGAGAGCAGAAAGATGACAGAAGATCTTCCTTGTAGCTGAGCTGTCTCTGGTTCCGTGATGGAGAAGGAAGGCTGTGCAACATATTTGAAGCTTGCTTTAAATACAGCACGAAAGCTTATCATTACTGGGGGGTGTGGGGTGTGCGAGGCGGGCATTTTCATAAATCCAAACTTATTTGAAGTGTAGTCCGTCAGGAAATGGAAACAATTTGCATAACAATGAAAAAATACGCTGTTCGGTGCGTATTTTGTTCACACTGAAAATTCATTTCTCAGGGACTGAAGATCAGAGCTATGAAGAACAAAATAAACCAGACTGGCTCTGTACCTTCATTTAACAAGTTCATTCCATCCCGCTTCCCGTCCTGCGAGTGACCTGGATCCAGAGAGGATTGAGAGAGACTAACTTCTGCCGAAAGCTGGTCCAGACTTTGAAAACTTTTCCTGCAAAGCAAGTAATATTTAATAGTAACAGAGGTAAAGATCTAACTAGGTATCTTACATTCTGAGTTTTCTAAACCAAACATAGGCAGTTAATCTTTCTTCTCTTAAAAACTCTACTTATTTTTTATTTCCTAAACCACATATTTTCCTAATGCAATTTTTTTTCTTTTTATTAATCCAAAAGAAAGGAAATTCTTATGGTAAGCAATAGAAAACGATCTTTTCTGCCAACTGATCCTTGTACATTGTAACAGGTAATTCCAGGAGGACACATTTAAGAGTATGCTAAGTGTATAATTTTGAGTTTCCCTGTTCCGCTAAAGGTGAATCAAAGTAAGTATCCAATTTACTCATCCCACTGTTGATTGTGCTTTCTATAGAGTAGAGTGTCCAAGGCAACCGCATTGACATCCAGAGCTCCTGGGGAAGGCCACTGATTGGTGAGGTGAGTCGTTAATTCTTGTCTTGATCTCAAGTCATTATTCTTTAGCACAGTTCTGTGAATACAAAAAGCAGTAAGTCTCAACCTAATAAATGCAATTCCTTAAGGTAAAGAAAAAAAAAAACCACACAGGACAAATAGTCCTGACCAAGTTGATGTTCTACTTTGAGTGACCAACAGATTGCAAAAGCATCTTCAGCTGTTCATTTTTCCTAGGGGAAGCAACTGAGATACCTATTGAGAAGTATTTAGGAACAGAGAAAAAGTTGAAATTAGAATCTTTCTGCAAAAGCAATAAAAAAAAAAAAAAAAAGTCAGCTGCATTCTAAAGGTTCATCCTGCTGGCATGGTGGTAATTAACAGTCCAACTGTTTTGCAAACCAACTATGGGAACGTGACATCCTTGTCCTTCCACCCCCCCAGTTTTTTTTTTGCAGTTTCACACACACACAACCCCCATTACTTCTGCAGAATGAACTAAAAAGCAGACATACTAGTTCCATTCTATGCTTGCAGGTAAAATATAACACATAGTTATACTATTTTCTACCACCTTACAGTTTCTAGTGACTGATTTTTTAAATTACAGAAGCTGTGTTAACAGAGTACCTTACATGTTCAAATTAGTTTTGCCTCATATTCCCATGAAGCAGACCAATTTTCTAAAATTGTGGAAATGAGGAAGCTAATGTGCCAATATTGGAAATCATCTGCCAAGTGTCATACAGAAGTAAAGAAAGTACATGGTTCTTCAGGCTCCAAGACAAGATCGGCCTTTTTCTGACAGTACAAGGCAACCTCCAACCTACCCTTATACTGCTGTAGAATACCTCTACAGTAAACAAAAGAAAGATTGCTTGTTAGCCCATAAATCCTGCAATCCACGAAATAATAGGCAGCAGTAAAACGCTGCTTTACAAGTAGTTCTCTGGCCTGAAGCAAGTAGCTACCGTTATGTATCTCCGTACCGAACGTACTCAGGAGTTCAAAGCCAAGTGCTGTGTTGCTATCTGAAATGCCAAACTGCATAGCAAATTAACACTGTTCACGGTACGCACACATTTATGTGATTTCACAAACAACGTTATCAACAGGTCTGTTTTTACAATGAGGTTTTTATTCTGATGGTCTCTGAACTGTTTAGACAAGAACCTCAGTAAGGGCACATAGCACCCAAAGAGTCAAAATTTCCCATAAAACAAGGTAAGACAATAGTGAGTTCAGTAAGGAATTTTTAGTAGCTGTGTTTGAGAGCAGAGACAGACGCACAGCAATTTTGCAAGAGAAGGTGGTGAAGGATCACGGTGAACAAAACTGTTTTCAAGAAACTCCTCTCCAGATGACAAATTCCCCCAGTGTTCATGCAAGCAAACAGTGAACTTTTCTACCTTGGGATCTCCCCCCTCACCATCGTCTCGAAGGGGTCTACAGGAATAACCACTTTGATAATGTAAAGCTCGTAATAATTTCATGTCCTGTGTGGTACTCACTTCCCCATGTAATTTCCCTACTTCCATGGGGTACATCGAGCATTAAACAGGCCTGTTAAGGGCTGGGTGATTTCAGGAAAGTGAAACACTGGCCTAGCAAGTTCTTAGGAGGTTAGCCAGTTAGACTCCATCACCTTATTCAGGAGGACTTCAATGGTTTCACAGAAATTTTGTAACAGGACACAGTTTATATTAGCAACTATACGCAGGGTAACTAAATGCAAATTCACATACAACACTGAAGTGCAAATTCCCATCTGGACAACTCCTGTATGTTATCACCACACAACTCAGCAGCAGTGTTATTACTAAACAAACATGCTGAGCAAAGATGACAAAACCACACATCTACAGACAAGTTGCTAATAGTAGAATTTTGACATTTTACGTAGGTTTCTATATTGAGGCTTTCCTCACAAATCTTTATGCTATAGTAACCTGAAATTCCACCCCTTCTGTGTGGACAAAGAAATTCTGAAACAAAGCCTAACCGACTGCTCCAGGGATTTTAGCATAACAGTGTTTAAAGACTGTTCCAGTAGATGATTACTTAAACCACTCCACCAAGCCCAGGAAGAAAACTAAGCATGAAGTAGGATACAGAAGTCACTGTTCTCCTATTAAAACTTTTATGCTTTCCTTTTGAATCTTTAAAAATATGTAAAAATAACTTTGAATATATAAAATCAGTCCAAACAGTATTCAGTATATCTAAAATAGCAACCCTCCCCACTAGTGTTCACGGGCTCTGTCTCTGTCAGGTAGTCCTCAGAATATTTACTTGCTGATTTCCTCAACTTCTATTATTTTGAGATGTTTATTTCATGATTTATCATTCTGAGATTATTTAAGCACAAACCAAATACAATTATGTATGGTACACATATAATAATGAAATGCAATTGTCTAATTCTTGCTCTTTTCCATCCCTGCTCCACCGTATGTTGCCTTTACAGTTGTTCCAGGACAATGGGGTAGAAGCCACTCATTAAATGGATCATCAAAACAGTCAGTCAAGTTTTAAAGTTTCTTTTAAAGAGTCTTTTTTATTTTTTATTTAAATTTAATTCATGAGGTAACCTCAGAAACAGATCTGTTTGCAACGGCATCGCTTTTGGCAGCTCATCTACCTCTCAAAAGGATAAAAGTTACTCCTTTGAATATAACACATCAGACTTCTGCATCTGGAAACTGTCACCTGACTTGATGCACTCATTCATAGTGAGGGGTGGGGACAAAAGACAGCCTGTACCTGGGGTTCCTGCATGCAAAATGGGAATGACAGAAGATTACCTTTGGTCACTTACTGAACTGTAACTATATTACCTCTGCAAATTTAAAAATAAATAAGTAAACAAAAATGAATCTCAAGTTCAGTCCAAGCTAATCTAGAAAAGCCTTATCCTGGTAACCACATAAAATTTCTGGTCCCATTTCAACTGGATTGGATTTCCAATTTCCCCTGGATCAAATCCAGCGTCATGCCATCAAAATCCTATTCTGAAAGACTCATTTACACAGATGTTCTTGTTTAATAAATAGTTCTGTTTCCAATTATACCTATGAAAAACCAGTAATTTCTTACCTGCAAGTTTAATTTCTCCAAATCCAGAAAATGCCAGTCCAGTTGGCAATTTGCCCTCCTACCAGCAGATGAAGACAGGAAATAAACCAAACAGACTAATTCCCTGAGAAAGGGAATTATATCAGATGAGTGCTCCAGTTCAAGAACTACCTGAGTAGTGAAAAGTAAAAGTGAAAAAAAAAGCTTAAAAAAAAAAAAAGAAAACCATTTAAATAAGAAAGAACAAGCTTTAAAAACCTTTATTTAGGACAGAAAACATGGAATGCAAACTCAAATTGATAGCATATATGAACATAACCAAAATCAGTAAGAGCAGGTCTAAAATAAAAGGGAACTTTCAACTTGTCAGTACTGCAGCAAGACGGTGAGTTTTCTGGACTGGTATGTCATTGGACTTTGAGAAATTAGATCAGCAGGTATGAAAATGAGTTACTTACCAGGAGATTTTGATGCTGCAATATATCACCTCTCTCAGGTTTGTGCCCTGTGCACAGACACGGTACTCCCCAAATTAGATCCTGGCAGAATTTCCAATGGCAGCCGCTGCAGTGAAAAAAAGCAGGCACATCCTGCTGCACCACACTCCGTTACTCTTTCTGACTGGCCTCTTCGTGCGTAACGGCAGCGGTACTAGTTGGACCACAGAACGGGTCCCCTCGAAGCTTCCTCAACCATCCTTTTAGTCCACCTTTATTATCTCCTAGAGATCTTGAAAGATATACTCCAGTAATAAAACTACTGCCATCAATTTTATACAGCCTTTGATCTCCTTGACCTTTGGAGTGACTTGGACGAGCTTACATTGGCAAGAAATACCAGCACCTTGACTCCTGAGTAAGCTAATTACAGTGGAGATGTTTATTTCGGAATACAGACATCCAGAATGGATCAAAACACACTACAGTATGTCCATTTTGCATGTGCTCGTTAAAATACTACTGCAGTACTTGACTGACATCTCTTCGTGTCCCTGGACAAATAACCAGGCCGGATTCCTTTGAGGAGGAAAGCAGGCACAACACAACCAGTTTCCCCAGACAGCAGGTCTTGACTGAAATTAAGAAAAATACTAATACTTTCGTTGCTTGTCAAGTAAAGGGCAGCTTTTACTTCTGTTCTTCAACTATCAGATCTTTTCTGCTGGAAAATGGACGACTCAGCCAACGGCTTTTCTTGACAGATTATCAAATTTATCTTTAGTAAGTATCCCCTCAAACAGGGCTTGTTATTAATGGATTTGTTTTTCCATGTCAGTCATGTAACCACAAATTAACTGTCTGTAGCTGAACCCCTTTTAAGAGAACATTTAAAAAACCTATTTTAACGCACTTCCCTTCGATTCAGCAAAAACAGCAGCATTAACCACCAAACGGTTGGGTAAACTTTGGGTTGACTCAACAACCACTTTTTTAAACTTTAAAACACTTGCACATTAAGTCAGCAAGAGTTTCAGCAGAGCTATCTAACATCATAACTGTAATACGGGTATTTGCCAAATCAGCATACAAACTCCTCCAGTATGCCATGTTTCAAATTACAAAAAAGTGAATATGGGAATGTTGACTTACTCTGCAGGACAGAAGACCATGACATTGTGGTTTGTTTGTTTGGGGAGGGGGGAGTGGGGGAAGAATGCAGCAAGTCACGAGTAATGTTAAGTTCCTCCTGGTAGCTGAACTGCCGAACTGAGCAAACAGTAAGACAGAGCTCCAGAGTCTAAGGCAATTGTAGAATGAAAAAATGCAGGACAAAAATCTGATGCAAGGGGAGAAAGGGGGGGAAATAACTCAAACAAAAAAAAACCCCACAAATATAGAGAAAAGGACAGTAGGAAATGGAGAAATGGGAAGAGAAAAAACAGGCAGCAAATAAAAATCTCTGCCAACTGTAATTTGAGTTATAATTTGGATAAAATAATAAATTTTTCAGTAGTTTGTAAGTGGCTGCATAATACTATCTCAATGACAACAGTAAAAGCAC